AACCTAAGCTCTCCCAAAAAATACTTGATGATACAGTTGTTTTCAACTGCCCAGTGTTTCAGAAATCTGGAATGCCTGATTTTGGGAAACTTCTCACCGGTGAGCACAGAACTGGTGCTTTGTTCCTTCCAGTGGAAGAACAGTCTGGCTCTCATTTATCAGTTAAATGAGCACGTATGGAGACTTTAAAATCGGTGACTTAATTTCATATTACACTGTGGGTTGAAGCAAGAGAAACAGATATAAACAGAAAACAAGGTGTAAGATTGAAGCAATTTCTTAATTGATACCATATTAATTTTTAAAATTGAAAAAAGAACATACTGCTTTTTTTACTGAAAGGAAGAAAACCTCAAACTTCATTTACATAATCACATGGCAAATGGGTGACTGAATTGCCCTGCAGATTTTCAGACTGACAGTTAAGGTCTGAGGCTTATTTAATATGTTTTTACATTCCACTAACACTATAAATAGGAATATACTAGAAGCCTGTTTTTAAATTTGAGGAGGGTGTTTTTCCCCATAGCTAGTTTTGTACAACAATGTGCAAGGTAAGTTCTGGGTAGAAAACCCAGTGTTCTTGGAAGAAGTAGAAGTATTCCTATTTCTGGCCTGTCCAACATGCTTTCATAATCCTTGTTGCATATTGCTTAGAAATCTTCATTGAATAGTTACCTCCACTTTCTCTGCAAATCCACTACCTTCAACTTCCAGGGTTTAACATAAGTTTCACTGATTTGATTACACCTGGGATTGCAGAAGATACTTTGTATTTCAACAGTTGTTACTCAAACCACCCTGCTTGTGGAAAAATCATGAAGGAAAGGGATAAAGATGCTCCACTGGGGTGTTTAGAAATGAGCAAACAAAAATCACCCTGCACTCAGTCTCCTCCACCTTAGTGGTCTGGTCCCACAAATACGTAAGCACATGAGAACCGTCATGGGCTTAATCTAATTGAAGACCCACGTAATTCAGGGAAGCCTGCAAATACTCACATGGGTAAAAATATTTTTGACGTGACTGTGACCTTCAGTGAAGTGTCAGCTGCACCTGTGTCAGGATTCACAGCTGACCACACCACTTCCTCGTGGCTCTGTAGCATTTCTGCAGTGCAGAGATGTATGATTGTATCACTTGGCTGCATGGCAGGACTGAAATCCTCTCTGACCCCCAGCCAGTACTACTTGTTCTGGTCTGGTTCCATTTTACAGTTTCCATGACAAAAGGGAGAATGTACCCAAATAAGAATTTGTGTGTTGTAGTCAGATGCAAGATTTTTGCAGTCTTGACAGACTCTTTCTGTTGACCATGAAGAGACCAGAAAGAGTCTTTGGGATGACCTAGGCAGTGCTGGGAAAGAGAGGTCTGTAGGGCTATCATCTTGGTCCTGAGTGGCTCCTAGGTGGCCATGGCTATGGAAGAAGGCTGTCTATCTTCTAAATTATACTGTTTAAAGTTTCTAGTCACTTAAAAGTGACCAACCCCCCCCCCCTCCCCCCCCCCCCCAAGTTCCTGGTAACTTTAAATTGAAAATACTTCCATGGCTGGACATTGAATGAAACAAAAAGGAAAAACTGGTTGCTATCTGTCACACTCAAGAAAAGCCTCTAAATGCACAGCTGCCATCCTAAGCATGGGATAGCTAAGTGCTTTTGGTTTAAGATCCTAAATATAACAATTGCTATTCAAGCCAATTTCAGAGTGTGCTTAGTTTTCAAGTACCTTTTCATTGTGTCCCTCAAAATTTGCCACTGACCAAAATTAATGCTAGTAGAAGTTGAATTCTGATAATGCAGAGTGAACTAAGAAGTTAATCTGGATTGATGGCGGATGTGGCTGATGCTTTTATTTTCATATATAGCATGTGAATTAAGTTTTTGTTTCTCTGTGATAAGCATGCATGCTCTCGTTTCCATAAATCTGAAAGCTTCCAGTACATTAAAAAGATCTGAGGAAATGCAGCTGGATAACCTATTTTTGAAATTTTGGCTTTAATAGTTTCAGTAGCTTTCCAACTTAAAACCACTTCAGTGCTAGAGGTAAACTTTATATTTTTGAAAATAATGTTAAAGCATTACATTCATAACATTGAACAATAGTCATGACTGTTACTGATTCAGCTCACTTCTGGATTAGCAGTCGTGAACCAAGTTTGTGTATTTTTTTTTCTAGACTTCAGTTTCTCTTTTGCATTTCATATTGTCTTATTGGTACTAATGAGCTAATATATGTAGGTATAGGTCAAGTTTTTTTCCCGATGAAACTACCAAAATAATTTTCTCTAAAATCACCTTTTGAACTCCCTGTGGTTTAGCAAACAATCCAGTGAAGCAGCCATTTGTCATGATTGGGCCATGCTGCATCAGCTGTAAACAGTCCTGATGAGGAGCCAAAGGAAGGCAGGTGTCCCAGAGCTGCTCTGGTGCAGGCATTGATGAACCTCTGTGGAAACCCTTCAGTGCTCTCGAAACTCATTCTCAACTAAAGGGTGGCTTTGGTTGTTCCAGAGATCTCTCTTCCCTTGGAAGGCCAGTTTACTTCTGGTGGGCATCACAGTATTGGTTTTATAAGGGCACTCTGTTGTTTTATATAAACATTTGCTTTTGGAAAAGGCAGTTCCTTTCCTGGAAGAGTCAGCATCCACGGACAGCACTGGGCTTGTGCAAGGAAACAGGAACAGGGTGCTGTGAGCCCGGTCCCCATGAGCGGCCTGGGCGGGTGTGGTGGCAGAGCTGCCCTGTGCCTGCCCAGCCTCCAGCTGCCTCACCAAGGCAAAGGTGTTCTCAGCACTGCCCGTACCCACTGCAGGCAGCTGGCCACAGGTAAGGCTGTCCCTTGGCTGTGGGGCAAGGAGGGGCCCAAAAGAGCAGGATCTGTTCTCCTGCTGTTGAGATTTTCAAACAGACATTGAACTTCGTATGCCGGCTTTCTCAGCCCTGGTGGCTCCTGGTGCTGCCAGGGTCCTGGAGCCAGCATCCCCACTCCTGCCCTCAGCAGGTGACAGCAGAGCTAAAATCTTCACAGCAGGCCCCCTTCACTCTGCTACAATGATCAGGCATTCATGATCATTTTTCACTTCCAAGTGATCCAAATAGACTTTGAGTCTTGACTGAGTCATTTGTGCAGAAAAGTTCAAAATCGATGAGATCACCTGGTGAATGCTAAGGCCATTCCCAGTTAAAATACAACTTCAGCCTCTCCCCAGCTGTGGAGGATGTAGGGATTGGATGCACACAGGAGGACTAACTCGAGGGTGCTCTGTCACCCAGTGAGCTGTTGCCTTAATTTCCGCCTGACAGCACTTGATGTACAAGGGACTGCAGGGAGTTGGACCGAGTGTGGAAGGCCAGCTGTTCAGGAGGTAAGACAGAAAGAAGCTGCAGCTCATTTACACTGAAAAAGCAGAGCTGGAGCTTCTCTTTCAGGTGGTAAGTGACCAATAAACCTGATTATAATTTTATTTTTTATATTCTGAAAACTGTATGCAACAAGCCTCTACCATTAGAGACTGCTGTCACCACAAGTGCTGGCAGCAAAACCTGATGATGGGAATGAATGAATGGAGCTGAGGACTAAGCAAGAGGAGTTGTGTTTCTAGTATAAACACCTATAGGAGGTTTAAGTAAAAAAAACATAATTCTGGCTCAGAGCTGGTATACTTTTTCAGAAACCCTTTGATAATCAGGGCAGGCTACTGCAAAGCAGCTGGCTTGAGAGGAGTGTGGTAGTGCACTTGTGCAAGCAAGGACAATATTTACATCCATCTATATTCATGGCACAGTGTGGACTCTTAATAGCCTTCCTGCCAAACCTTGCTTAATAGTCCATTTGGAGAACCTATGGATCAGCTTCATTTGTAAAAGTTTGACGTTGCACTCTGCAGTGGGAAAGAGATTGAAAAAGGAAAGTGCTATTTCCCGAACTTTTTCTGTGTTCCTATGCCTTCTTGTCTGCTGTGTCATCAAGTTCAGCTATCAGCTCTGAGGCTCACATTTTGTTCTACCTAATTACCTGTGACAAAGATGACAGAATAGAACTATAAGTATTGCTTATGGTACTTTGGCACCAAAGAACTTGTGTTGCCACAGTGGGAAATGCTGGGTAATAACCAAACTTTATTTGCCAAATAAATGTACTTTCTTGAATCAGCTGCTTTTCTTGCAAACCTGCTTGGAAGAGATCACTTAGTGTGAACCTTCAAAGGTCAATACCTTCCTGTTCAAAGCAATTCCTGTGTGTGATAGCCATCATCTTGCTTGTCTGTTTTCTCTGTCACTGCTGTGCAGATGGCGTTATGGGGCTGGCCAGAATACTTTACCCTGCACCCCAGAAATGTTAACATTTGGCCAATTCCCATTATGTCCCTTCTTAATTAATAAGGTAAAAATAGAAGCTACCTTCTCACTTTAATAGTTTCAGTAGCTTTACTGAATATTTCAGTATTTTTACTGAAATATTCAGTAAAGCTACTGAATATTTACTGGCTATTTCAGTAGCTTTACAGATATTTAATTTCTTTAATTTTGGATTAGTTTCCTCCTCTACTCATAGAGACCCTGCAGACTTTGATGCCTTGGGGGTACTAAATGGGACTTTACACAAGATCTCCAGGATTTAACCAAGCCAGTGGTGAGATGTTGCCTTAGACGGGGGCCACAATGCACCCAAAGGACCCCACCCACCCACCCCCTTCTAGATATTGTACATTGCATGATGGTACCCAGTATTAATCCGGACTAGCCCTCCGCACAGCAAATCTCCAGGGTCAGATAATCCCGTTGCAATCTGTCCCTTTCCACCCCCGGAGGGCCCTGAATTAGGTCAAACGGGATTACATTTGCATTTTATTTATTTATCTTTTTTTTTTTTTTTCCCGTGCTGGTTACACGCACAGCCAGCCTCGGAGGAGGCGGGGAGGGAGGCGGGGAGCGGCGGTGGCTTTAGCCGATGGCAGTGGTTGATGCCCGGCGGCGGATGCCAGCGGCAGCCGGGCGATGGCGAGGAGCCGGGCGGCTTACGAGTACACGGAGGCGGAGGACAAGAGCATGCGGCTGGGTTTCCTGCTCATCGCCGCCGGCTTGCTCTCCCTCTTGGGTCTGGGTTGTTGCTGGCTTCGCCCGGCGCTGCAGGAGCGGGGCGGCGGCGGCTCCGCCAACTGCACGGTGCTGGCGGTGCGGCAGCTGGGGGAGCGCTTCGCCTGCACCTTCTCCTGCGGGGCCGCCTGCCGCGGCACCGCCCGCTACCCCTGCCTGCAGGTGCTGGTCCGCACCTCCCGCTCCTCCGCGCCCGCCCTGCTCCATGAGGACGAGCGGCAGCTGCGCACCAACCCCAAGGTGAGACCCGCGCTCCCTCCTCTCCCACCGTGCGGGCGGGGGTCCCGCCGCGGTCGGTGCCCTTTCACCGCTCCTGCTCCCGCCCTCTGTTCAGTGCGCGGATTTCTCTTCTAGAAGTGAAGGGTGGTAAGTGAAGTGCGGGGGCATCCGTCCGAAATGCCGCTCTGCTTGTTGCTCAGCAAAAAGTAGTGCGTCTCTACAGTGTGTATCTGTAAACATGCTATACACTGTACATCTATATTTATGTGTTGTGTTTATATCTATATAATCCCGGGGAAGGTTTAGGCTCGATACTGGGAAAAGGTTTGTCACCCAGAGAGTGGTTGGGCGCTGGAACAGGATCCCCAGGGAAGTGGTCACAGCACCAAAGCTGACAGAGTTCAAGAAGCTTTTGCCGGCAAACACATGTTGTGACTCTTGGGGCTGTCCTGTACAGGGCCAGGAGATGGTCTTGATTATCCTGGTGGGCGCCTTTCAATTCGGAATATTTTGTGATTCTATACAGCATAGTATAACATACTGTGTATAATGTATAATATACTATATAGCGTATTGCACTGTACTATGTACTATACTAAGTATGATACATGCACACACAGACACACAGACACAGACTCTCACACTTCACTGCCATCCCCGTTCCGTCCGTCCCGCCCGCGTCCGGAGCGCAGCCCCCGGGCAGTGGAGCACGGACAACAGCGGAGGCTCCTGTGCCGCTCCCGGCCCGGCCCGCCGGAGCCCGGGACGCCGGCGGGAGAGGAGCCGAAGCTCCTGCTGCAGGCAGGAGAGGAGCCGAAGCTCCTGCTGCCGGCGGGGCTGTCTGTCTGTCCGGGCAGCGCCCGGTGCCGTTGCGTGGCGCGTCCCGGAGCGTGGGGACCTCGCAGCGCCGCTCCCGAAAGCGCACGGAGAGGCGGTAATGGAACTGCTGCTGGCGGGGCGCTGGGGAAGCGGCTGCGCCAAAACAAAAGTTTCCCCCGTGCTGTTTTGATTCTTAAACTCCTCCATCACCCACACGAAAAGGGACCAAATGAAGAATTCGTGCAAGTTGCATCTTCCAGCAAACTGGGGAAGTCTGAAGGCAAATGTGTGACTTGTGCTTTCTCTTTCTTTAAAGGCAATTACTCTGCCTTCTCCTTTTTCTTTTTATGCTGGGTAAAGATGACAGCACACACCTGAGTGGAGGAGATCTTATTAAGGAGTTTGAAGAAGAAAAAATCATGTCAGAATCCTCTTACTCCTGAAAGAACTTGAGATTAGGAGTGTATTGGAGAAGGAAATTTCAGCTCTTTGACTGAGATGTGGATGCAACAAAGTGCCAAGGGCCATGCTCAGCACGATGTAGGGGCTGGGAAGCACGCTTGGGTGTCCAGCTGGGATGTGCAGCCTCACATCTCCTCAGTCATACTTGTGCTGGTGTGCTCCATCCCTTGGAAGGCAGGTTAAGTTTCACACTCAGGGTTTGAGGGTTGCTTTTTCCCCCTTGGCAGCTTGGAAGGGTGGTGGGGGTAAAAATCAGCAGAGTAAGTAGCAGGATGGTAAATCTGGCAGGATTTGGATTAAATTGTTGGCACCGCTAAGAAGTGATGAGTGATTGAAGCTGCAGTGCTGGATGGAGCCTGATCACAAAGCAGATGAAATGCTGGCCTGTGAGGGAGCTTTGCAAACCTTTTCCTGGGAGCGCTGCTGCCGGGCTCCCTGTGCAGAGGACTGTGGTGGCAGAGGTGTGCCAGGAGTGCCCTAGCTGGCCGAGCCGCAGGACTCCTCTAAACACCTCTCCATTTTCAGGTGGGCAGGGGGGAGCTGGCAAAATGCAGGAGAAAAGTCACCCTTTGAGAGGGGGCAAGGATGACGTGGCTCTGCAGAGGGTGCAGCGTGGCTGTCCCTGAGCACAGCCCTATGGCCCTGCTGTGGCCATTCCAGCAAGGGTGGGAGCTGGGGGATGGAAAGTGGGAGCTGGGGGATGGAAAGTGGGAGCTGGGAGATGGAAAGTGGGAGCTGGGAGATGGAAAGTGGGAGATGAGAGATGGAAAGTGGGAGATGAGAGATGGAAAGTGGGAGCTGGGAGGTGAGTGCTGATTGCCACCAGAGTGCCTGGGCTCAGCAGCTCTGGCAGCACCTGCAGGTTCAGCAGCAGCTTTCAAACTGGACCATGACCACACTGCCTTTCTGAGTAGTCCAAGGGCTTTGTTCTGTTTTTACTTCTTGATCTTATTTTCTTCTGCCTTTCTGGAAGTGTGGCGGGAAGAGAAGGATTGCACCTGGCTGAATTGCAATTGCAGGGAGGCATTCCAAGCTTCAGAAGTAATCCCTGTAAATGTCACTCAGAAAACTATTTCTATTTAACAATTAATTTCATGTTAACTCTATATAAGAAAACAGGGCTGTTGGCAGTGTGTGGTACTTTCCCGGTTTTACAAATATAATCTGTTTTCTTTACCTTCCACCTTGCATCTCTAGATGTGGGCTGTTTACCCTGGGATATTGATTGCTGAGGACTAAATCTGATTTACCAGATTTGACCAAGCAGAAAGGATGCATTTTTTTTTGATGTAACTGTAATCTTTGGTAGTAATTGAATTTATCTCAGAGGAAAAACTGTGTAGAAAAAAAATGTACTCTAATTATTTTTCCTACTTTGAGAAGCTTATGTAAAATAAAAATAAAATAAGAAGAAAAGTTGGTTAGGTCTCTTCAGGAAAAAATACCTTTGTAAGGGATTGAAGTCTGCATCTGTTTCTTTGGTTTTCCCTTTTTTCCCTACTTCAATGCCTGTGGAGCCAAACACTTACACCCTCCTTTAATTTTTGATTTAAAATCTTGCTGTCTTTGAAGCTTTCAGGATTTTATGCTGGAACACATCAGCTAGAGCCACAGAGTAGGAATCTGCAGGATTTAATGCTCAGGATCCTGTATGTATTGATGAACAAACACTTAGAGAGCTGTTTAACCCTTCCTGTTCCCATCATATTTTTACATTATGCCTCCTTGTGTTCATCCATTTAGTCATACATACAACATGTTAATCAATTCTCACTAGCTAGAAGGGAAGAAGAAGACCAATTTTTTTTTTTAACATTTTTTTAATTTTACTTTCTGCTTAGGTGCTTCTCTTTGTGGGGTAGCAATTTTCCCCTGTAAATCAATAGTGTTGAAAGGGCATAGTTCAAGCTCCTTACAACACACAACAATAAAAAATCAGTTGGTAGCTTCACTCCACCAAAAATCCCCAGTGTATTTGATTAAAAATCTTCTACTTTCTGTAGTAGAGCAGGCTGACATATAAACATATCACAGATATGAATGTCTGTTCCAGTGAGGAAAAATATTTTTCTAGATGCAGGAAAAAGAAATTTTTTTTTCTTCTCTTGCTTTCTAAGATAATCACATCATTGTGCAGCCCAGGATTCATTTTAGCTCTTAAAAGATTATATAGCTGGGTCAGAGATAATCCAGGAATGTATATATAAAGCACCGAACACGATTACATTTGTGTTCAGTCTGAGTGATCTGTGGATTTCCTTTTTTTTTCTTTTCTGATTGCTGTCTCAGAGGAAGAAATTCATTGGAGTGACTGTAGCCTTTCTTCAGCTGCCTTGATAGCAATAATAATCTGGGAGATAAGGCTTAAGCAGGATTAATTCCAAAGTCAATTTGTCGCCGTTCCTCTCTGGCCATGGGGTATGTTGGTGGTGCACACAGCCAGCGCAGGGAGCAGGCCCAGGGGAGTGTGGCAGCTGCTGAAATGTTTGCTTTCTGGCTTTTTAGACATTTCCCTTTCCACATCTGCAATTAAGTGTAGGGTTGGAAGAAGTTGCCCCCTGTTTTGCCAAGGAAACTTTTAGGGGAGTGACTGGTAAGACAGATGTTAGCAGCTGTGCAGAGGACCTGGTTCTCCCCCTCCTTGTCCCCAGGCAAGGAGCAAAGCAGCTGCTGCCCCTTGTCTGCTCTCCACACCTGCCTGTGCTCCTGCCATGCTTCTCTGTGTAATGGCCCCCATGACAAGATGATGTGCAGTCACTCTGTAAATAGACTTGGGCTTAATTTTTGGACTCTCTTAAATACGGCCCATGGCAGAGGAGGTATCATAACAAAATACAACTTGACAATAATTTTGTGAGAGTCTGGAGCCTCTGGCTGGTGAAGCATTCAGATCTGTGTTTGGGCTGGTACCTGTGACAGGCAAACTCTGCAGAGGCTGCCAAGCAATTCCTCTGGAAGTGGGCCCAGGGGCCATGGATAAACCCTATAACCCACTTGTCTCACCTGGGCACCACTCCCTGCCTCGAGCCTCTGTGAGGGGTCATGGGTTTGATCACTCCTGGTGGGCTGTGCTGATGATGATCATTTGCACTGACAGATGCAGGTGAGAGCCAGGCCTGGTGTTCAGCTCCAGTTCCCTCAGGACACTCAGCTGGGAGGGGGCAATTTTTGTACTAAAGGAGCGAGTGCCCCCGCTCATGCCCTGCCCAGTGGGATGGTTGTGGCAGCCCTGCCTCCCTTCCACACCATGAAGGTAACCCAGGAGTGCATGGAGACACACACAGATTTAGGAGAAGCTCATCTATTACTTGCTGTGGTGGGTTGACCCTGGCTGGACTTCAGGTCCCCCCCCAAGCTGCTGTATCACTCCTCAGGTGGATAAGGGAGAGAAAACATAATGAAAGGTTTGTGGGTTGAGATAAGGACAGGGAGAGATCACTCATCCTTTATCATCATGGGGAAAATGGACTTGACTCAGGGAAATTAATCAGCTTTATTGCCAATTAAATCAGAGAAGGGTACTGCATAAATAAAATCAAATCTAAAAATGCTTTTCCCCTACCCATCTTTTCTTCCAGAGCTTAACTTCACTCCTGATTTTCTTTACTTCCTCCTTCCCACCAGCACAGAGGGACAGGGAATGTGGGCTGTGGTCAGTTCATCACACACTTTCACTCCTTCCTGTTCACCCTCTTTCCCTGCTCCAGGGTGGGGTTTCTCCCACAGGAGACAGTCCTGCATCCCATTCTCCAGCGTGGGTCCTTCCCACAGGCTGTAGTTCTGTATGAAGTGCTCCAGCATGGGCTCCCCTCTCCTGTCAGGACCCTGCTCCCATGTGGGCTTCCCTCAAAGCCCCAGCCTCCTTTGGGCACCCCTTTGCTGTGTTGGGGGGTTCACCATGGGCTGCAGGTGGATCTCCACTCCAGCAGGTGTGGTAGGGCTGTGCCACACCAAACAGTGGCACATGCTCTGTCCCACAGCTCACCAGGAGCCAGCAGGATGATCCTCCACAGGTCACTTGGAAACTGAGTTTGAAATCTTGCTCCTGAATTACTTTGTCTTCTGTTGGGTTGAATTGCTTCTACTTTGGGCTGGGATGTCTCTTCACATTTGAAACTTTCTTTGATTTGTAGTCTGTCAAGTCTGTTTTTTTTAATTAAAAACGCGACTGAATTAGGCAAGAATTGATCTTTGAAAAGCATGAAATTCAACCTGGAACTTAAACCATAGTCAAGAGTTCATACATCTGTTCTTTCTCTGTGATTTGGAAGAATATCTGTCCTCATTAAGTGTTCAGAAGTACCAGAAATCTTTCCAGGCACCTGCAGAGACTGAAGTGGGAGCATCCAGCAGCAAACACAGATACAAATCCTACAAAACCTTGGTGTAAAGATGTATTGGCTATTAACTGACATTTTTACTGGTGTCCTAGCTTGCTTTCAGTTGGCATTTGTTTATGTTTTGATATCAGTATTTCATGCCATGTCCTGCATGGGAGGACTACAGATTTAATGTTTCAGAAACTGCCTATTGCCAAAGTAGAAATTATTTCACATCCATCCATCGAGTCACAGCAGCAAAATTTGTGAGGACACGATTCCCTTTTATCTGCCTGCTGAATCTGCTTTGGAGGGTGATAGAGCTGGCTGAGCAAAGTGCCCTAGAAGTGTGCTTGGGAGGCTGAGTGAAGAGAGATCCAGCCCCTGTGTGGGTCAGAAAGGGAGAAAAATCACCTTGGATTGGTAGGGACAGTGCTGGCATCCTGGGGAGGCGAACAAGCTCCATTGTTTGTGCAGCAGCTGATAATGTTCACTCTGGGATTGCATCTTGGGTGTTTTCTGGGGCTCAAGGCCTTTGTCACATTGAGTTGATGTTTCAGGGTGGTCCCTGGGATTCATATTTGGACAGGGACCATTCCTCTCCTCAGGACTGTTAATCCTCAACAGGCAGAAGTCTTGAGGCCACGTCAATTTATGGCAAGACCCCAGGCATCTCCTTTGTGTTTTCCACATGGAGACAAAGAGGAAGAGGTAGAAATGTATCCAGCATGCTTTCTGTCAGCTGGGATTATGTGTGCAGAGAATGATGTAAAGTTTGGGCTATGGAAAGCATTCACTGTTGTGCCCAACTTCCAGGGGTCCCTCCTGTAGGTACTGGCAGCACTCCTATACACTGCCTTGCTTTGGCACAGGAAAACACAGAAGTGCTGCCCAGAGAAACTCTGTGGGCCCCTTTACATCTTCCAAACCAAGAAAAATCCCTGCCCTGAAAAACTCAATTTCTAATATCTTCATATTGAGCATGGGGACTGATGGGAGAAAAATGTGAAACTCTCTGTGATGAAATGTCCTGGGAGATTGCTAAAGCTTGATACTTGTCTGTTCAGATGGACACCTCTTGGGGAAAGAGACCTCTCTGGTTGTTTCTAAGCCTGAAACTCAGCTTGGGGCTTACCAACAGCTCACCAGGTTATGAATTTAGTGAAGGATTCAAGTAATATTTTGTGGGGTGGAAGGTCTCTGAAGGATCCAGAGAAAGTTTAACCAGGACTGGTGGGGCACTGATTGCACTTTCATAGAGGACAGCAGCAGGCTCAGCCAGGAAGAGGAAACATTTCAGAGGATAGAGGAAATATGTGTACTGGAGCCAGGAACACAGGAATAGGAGTTTTGAGATAGCTGGGTGTGTTTAGGCAAAATAATCTCTATTGGTACTTAGCTGGTTTGTCTAGTTGTGCATTTTGTGTGCTGGCTAAATAGTGTCTGGTTTGGGAGCTCTTTCTAGAGCCCCTAAAATCTGGGGGCTGCCTACAAGCTGGGGCTGGGAAGAGCAGTGTGGTGATTACTGTCAGAGGGAGGCAGTGAGTGCACAGCTCATGGGATTTGGTGCCATTTGCAAAGCAGGAAAAGTTCCCTACAGGAAAACATCGGAGTGGAGGATGTTGGAAGCGCTGGAGCCCGGGCCAAGCAGGGAGGAGGGCACCAGCTGGAAAGGTGCAGCACATTGGTGCTGGCAGGGCTCAGAGCAGAGCCAGCAGTGCTCTCAGGTGTCTTTGGGCCAAATTTGCTGACTCTGCCCAGCTGCTGCACAAATGTGTTTGTGCACTGGGAGTGTGGAGGAAAAAGGGGAGTGTTTGATGCTTCCAAAGTGGACAACCAAACCAAAAATTCTGCTGACCAAGGAATATTATCTAAGATGGCAATAATAGTATGTGATAAGCCCTGCATTCTGGTTTCTGAAGTAGAGTGGTGTTGCCCTCGTTTCTGTCCTCCATCATCAGCAGTGGGACAACCCTTGTTCAGGGTCCTGTGAACAGGGAGCTGAATGGAGCTCTGTGCCATGGCAACACCAGCCAGGAGTCCATGTGAAAATGAAGATCCTTGCATGTGGAAAGGTAGGTTTCAGTCTGGAAGCAGCAAGGAAGACCTTGCAGATTCTTTCATTCTGAAGCATGCAAAACACTGGCAGCAATTGCAGGTGCTGGCAGAAGTGGTCAGATTTTACATGATCAGGGGAATAAAATCCTGAGATTTTCCCTTGCCATTGGAATGGCAAATCTTCAAGCTGTTGTATGGTGAACACGGTCTTGTAGGTCTGTACATCTTAGGTATAGTGTGCAGCTGGGGGCAAGGTAAGCCCTGTGAAGCCTCAGCAGGAGGAGAGGAAGCAGTGTTAGGCCAGGGTGATGTTTATGCTCATGTCAGAGAGGGTATCACTCCCCCTGCTGTTCCTGCCTTCAGGACAGAGGAGAAATTAATGTTGTGATCAGCTGTGGGACCCCTTAAGGGGCTTCCCACACCCTTCACCTCCTGCTTCCTCATCCTTCCTAAGCAGGAGGCCTTTTAGCTCCCTTCCCAGTCACACTTTTTTCTGTTTGCAGCTCCCAGTTTTAAAGGGATTGAAAGTCAGTGTGTTCAGTTCACTTGGCGTCCGTATGTCCTGCAGGGTGAAAAGCCTCTGTGTTATGGGAGGATCAGCCAAGCTCTGTCACTCAGTGGGGTTCAACAGCTCCTGTCATGATCTCCTGTGTGGATGCCTGGTAAAAATAAGAGGGATTGTGCTTGGACACTGAACTCTGATAGGCTGACACTTAATTCAGTGCACTGTTTGTTTTCTGTTGTTGAACTGCCTGTGGCAAGGACTTAAGGGTGGTGTGGCAGAGACTTGGGAAACAAGGAGTGTGTGTGTGTGGGGGGGGTTTGTGTCTGACCCATGGGGAGCCTCTGAAAGCCCAGTCCCAAGGGCACCAAGCTATGGGAGGAATCTCCCTTGCTCTCTGGGCTTTGAAGCAGATGTCTGAGGGTGAGATCTGCAGGTAGCTCAGCTGCATGCTCAACTCTCCTTGACTTCTGTACAGCAGAAGCAGATGCTGAACCTTTCTGCTGAAGCAGGGCTCTGAGCCTTTTTTCTTCTTTCCATGTGTTGTACACAGTGGAAGAATACCTTCTTATATCAGTGGCCATCAGCCAGATATCCCATCATCTGGGAAAGCTTGCTGGAGTCTTTGGGATATTTATTACCATGATACTTTGCTAAACTTCTGATTACGTGCCTCACTGAAAATAGGAAGTTATGCAAATCCGATCCATGCAGCTGGCTCGGAATACATCAAAATGAAATTATCATTTTTACATTCATCATGCCAAACCCCAAAATATTATGAGGTGCTTTAGTTTAAGAGTGGAACAAACATGGCAAAGCCTTTATTTTCTTTTTGAATGCTACTACATTCTTTTCCAGTACCCGCACAGAATAATTAGCAATTGAAGTGAAGTTCAGCAGATATTTCTTTTCTGTTTCTTTGGAGCTTTTGTTTATTATTCTCAGTCCATTTCAGTCACGCTGGTATCATGAGGAAAAGGCAGAGAAGTGATGCCCTGAGTTCTTGAGCACAGCAGTAACCCTGTTTTGCAATGTGTCTTGGCAGTGCTCGTACATCCCTCCCTGTGCAAGAGACGATCAGGAGAACTCTGAGAATGTCACGTACAAGCAGAAATACTGGAAAGAGAAAGTGGGATCTCAACCATTTACGTGCTACTTTAACCAGCACTTGAGGTGAGTAATCTCCATTTGGCTGGGCAGGAGTGCATCTGCTTAACAGCTGTCCATTGGTTCTGTTTGAACATACATATAAATGCATGCATATGTGCATACACACACAGACCCCCTCCAGGGCAATGTGGTTTATCACACAGAGCTCAGTGAAGAACTTTGCAAGACAGCTCTACTGATGAAAGACTATACAGAAAGGAAAGGAGTATTTTTACAACTTGAAGTAAAAATATAAAACTCTGAGAAAAGTTTTTGCTTAAAGCATGCAATTCTTATAGCAAAAAACATCTTGTCTTTTAACACATAGATGGCAGATTTCTGGTGTGGGTATTAACGTTCCTTTCCTCCACAGGAAAGAAACCCTACTGTGCTCATGGAAGAAAAGGGGAGATCAGTAAATACAACAAACTAACTCAGCAATTGTGTTCATAGAGGGTTAATGGATCAGATAAAAATAAACAGCAACAGAACTGCCAGGTTTCATACATGCTTGCAGAGTAGAAAAAAAAGAACTCTGTTTGAGTTCTTAATTTTGCTGCCAGTGTTGATGTGACTTCCGTGTGTATGACGTGTGGTTTCCTTCCTCCAGTAAACAGAAAGGGGAGGGAGTCCTTTTTCCTGTCTCTTTCTGATGTGATATGCCAGGAAATAAAAGGTCATGTGGCTGCAGGAGGAGGTTAGTCCTGTCCCACAAACACTTGAAAGTTAAATAGATGAGGGAATAGCCCATGACTTGCAGGTGCAATTCAGGGCTCAGTCTGGGAGTGTTGGCACCAGATATTTAAGTTCAGAAAGACAATCAGGAGGAAAATGGATGGCAGGTGGAGAAATTCCTGACTCACTGTGAGTGTCCTGCCGTGTGCCTTGGGGGCTTCAGCTTTGTCCTAGGCTGGCTATAACAGCTGTCTTCCTGAAGAGACTGCAGACCCAGTCAGCATGCCCAGGATGAGTTTGTTGTCCCTGGTTAACCCTTTGCAGAGGGATACCACCAAAACTTTGTAGCAAAACTTTTTCCTTTAGAAGGGAGAGAAACATTGATTACAGCATGCAGAGGTTAAAACTTGGGGCACTCTGAGTGATGGCATCAGACCTATTGGGGACCTTCTTGGGAGTCCTCTGGTCCACAAGGTGCCAAAGCTTGGATCTGGTACCCAGGAGCCGAATTATGATTCTGGTTTGTCTGGGCAGGCAGGTGTTGCCTGTTCCTTGTACTCCTGAGAGCTGGGACTTGCAGCACCCACTGCCCAAGTGAGCAGGAGAGTCAGAAACATGGGATTGTCTGCAGGAGAAGTCATGGCTAGGATGCATCTAAACTGGTGTGGAAAGGATGATGTAAAAGGTAACTGTGTGACTTTTTCAGCCAGTGGAGAGAAGCAGGAGCCTTTTAGCTTACCCCAAAGTAAAGCCTGATACAGGTCAGATGCCCAGAGATGTTTATTTCTCTCCTGTAGAGGAGTGGAGGGTGATAGGTGTCCAGAGCTATGGGAGCTGATTCTCACATTACATTTTGGTGTAGCAAAGACAAACCTTTTCTTTCTGCCTAGCATCTGACATTTATGTAAGCTGGCACTGAGAAATTATGCAGCATTCAGGAAGGGTTTTTTTCCCTAAAGATGCTGAATCCTATACTGCTAAAAGTTTTTGCCAGCACAATGGCTGCCTTGAAACACTGCCTTTTGCTGATCATGCAACAATTCATACACAGGATGAGAGAGGCTTGCTGCCAGAGATACTAGAAGATAGTCTGAGCTGAAATGTATACACCATCTATTTTCTTCTGGAGATAGCAATGAGCTTTGGGAGATAAGTTCTGCTGACTGGGAATGTGCTTGCTTGGGTATACTTTTAGAGCAATGATGACTAAGCAGCCTGAAAAGCAGTGAAAAGAAACCACAACAAAGAGGGAGAAATCTGTTCCTCTCAAAATGTTTTCTGACAGTATTTTTTCACTGTGTGGATAAACTAACTGTTCTCTGTCAGTCTGTATAAAATGTATGGTAAATAGTTCCTTAGAGAATGTAGTGTTTGTAATATTAATACTCCCTCTTTTGAAACAGCAGAATAAAATTCTAGGTAAATATGCAGGCAATGAATGAACATCTTCTCTTCATCGAGCTTACTCAATTTTCATTGTCAGAACTGTTGCTGCATGCAGAGTGTACTGTTGGGTATCTTCTCCCTTTCAGTTTGGTGGGTTCAACAGGTTATTTTGAAAAGATGAAAAAAAGGGGTGCCACTCTCACAGTTCAAGCTTATGCAAAAGGGATGAGAAGCAGACTTGGCAATTTCAACCATTCTTAGTCACTGTAAATCAAACTACCCAGCAAAATTAGCTGCCTGACATTTGTCTTAGGGAACCAAAGTACAGCTTATCTTGGAGCTCAGTGCTCTACTGAAGAGCGAGGTTTTGCTTTGCCACTGAGGCACTTAATTTCAATGTTGCACTCTTCTCTGACAAGCTTTGGGACAAGGGGTTCAAGTTGCTTTTCTGGATCTCTGGTGAAGGTGCCCGTCTGTTGGCATGATGATACCCCAGTCTGAAGGAAGCCCAGCACAGCAGAAACCAACCTTCAGTTGGTTTCAGACTCTAAAATAAAGGACAAATCCAGATGAAGTTCTCAGGCTGTTGCCAAAGGTTTGAGAAGGAGCTGAGCTCTAGGGCTTTGGTGTTCTGGGTCTCACACCCAGTGTCCCAGCAGTCTGCAGTCATGACCTCATGCAAACAGGGGCCACGGCTGCATGCCCTAAAGTGGGAGGCCTGTGGGAACAGGCAGGATGGGGAAGATCCTGTCACTTTATTCCTTCATGTTCCAGGTGCCATTGACATCCATGACAAGAACAAAAAAGAGAGAAGCTAAGATTGCCATGAGCTGAGACGTCACTGTCTCATGCCATGCAGAGACAGGCAGAGCAACCTGTGGCAAGTCATTTCTTATTAGTGGCTGATTTCTATGGCACTATTGCTTGTTAGCTCTGGGTTTGTCCCATACACAAGAACACTCTGTGTTTCCTTTGCTGTGGCACAGCAGATGAGCCAGCCATGCTTTAACCTCCTCTGTGTTTGCTGCAGGATGCTGTACACAAATTCATCAGAGATTTGAAGAGGAAACCCTGTCAAGTGATTAGTGACAACCTGTGTGTTGTTGGGGTGCCCTGCAGGGTTTCCACTTATCTCAGAATAATTATGTGTGCAAGCCAAGGGTGCTCAGGTAGTAAGGCTGCTCATCCATAAAATGTTGGAATATAAATCTTGGTTTGCTCTGTTACTTCACAGTTTTCTAAATTAATTCCCTCCACCTGTGGAGCAGAGCTTGGGCCTGAGGGGGAAAGGGCTTGACTGTCAGTAAGACACTGTGCTGCCTCTGCATGCAGCCATCCAGCTGAGGATCTCTGCAACTTGCAAAAATAAGGGAAAAAATGACTGCTTGTCAGAGTGAAGGGATGTGAATATCTGGGGGGAAAAAGACAGTGTATTTCAACCATCTTTAAATCCAGATTGTTTGAATACCAAGATATTAGTAAGGTTTCCCTATCCAGCACCTCCACCTCTGTCAGCTATTGTTGTGTGACATTATGTTCATAAGTGATGACTGAAATGCTTATGTGCCTGTAACCTTTTGGTCCTACATGACATTTTGGTAATCCCTGCCCTGCAATTCTCCCCATGATGTTCAGTAATTGCTCTGCAGGCTCTGATGGAGGCCTGTTTTATTTGGTGTCTGAGCTACCTGGCAGAACCTAACAGGGATGTGTTGTATAATGCAACTAATCCAGTTATCCCTGCTCAAAGCTTCACAAGGGTCTAGCCCTGAGCTCAAAGTCCTGCTAAAAATAAGTCCTGGTCTCACCTTTTAGCAATGAAAACAAAATTCCTTCCTCCTTGTCTGTTCAGGGAAAGGGAAAGCTGTGTTTTCAGGGGTAAGGCAAAGGCTTCTTTGGGGATGTTTTTTTCAGTTTGTTTTTTCACCCTGGGACTGTTGCTGGGCAGAGGTGGTGCTGCACAGTGGCCATCACTGCTGGCAGCAAGAGCCAGCTCTGGATGCCTGAGCATGGCTTGCAATCACTGCAGGGTTTCCCCCCTTTGTCCCACTAGGCCTCTTTCTTGCCTCTGCCACTGTTTTATGCATGGATAACTGCTGGTAGGATTTTGGGTGCATCTCCTCAAGAGGCTTTACATTTGCTGGAAACCTGATTGGCAGCATTGCTAGAAAGAAGAGACTGCCAATAATCGTGCTTAGGGTGAATATGCACAACCCCTCTGCCAACATCTTTGAACTGAAGTACTGTAGAAAGTCACAGAGCAAAGATGGGTTTATTGAAGACACTGTACTAACAGGGGCAAGGCAACAAATTTAATTATATCAGCTAATTTTCATAGGGAAAAGGAACATGTTTCTAGGCATGATGTACCTCCTTTTGGTTCAACATCACTGCCTCAGCACCAGGGGAGTGATGCTCTTAGGCTTTCCAGCAAGGACTGGTCTTTACCATGAAAAGTCTTCCCTTGGGGACAGAGCCTTTCCATTTCTGTTTCTAAGTAAAACAACAAGCCTTCAGACTGTGGGAGCAGGCAGGTCACCTTTAAAAAGGTAGCATGAAAAGTCAAAACTGCTAGGTTTGCCAAGCAAACCCAAAGCAGCTACATTACTGTGTTTCAAGTGCTGCAGAATCACAGAATCCTCTGAATTGGAAGGCACTCACAAGGATCATCCAATCCAGCCAATGGCCCTGCACAGCACCATTCCCAGAGTCACTCCATGTGCCCAAGAGCATTGTCCATATATGTTTCTTGAACTCAGACAGTCTTGGTGCTGTGACCGCTGCTCTGCAGAGCCTGTTCCAGTGCCCAACCACCCTCTGGGTGAAGAACATTTTTCTAATGCCCAACCTGAACCTCCCCTGACAAAGCTTCCTGCCATTCCCTTGGGTTCTGTCACTGGCACCACAGAGAAGGGATCAGTGTCTGCCCCTGCTCTTCCCCTTGTGAGGAAGTAACTGCAATGAGGGCTCCCCTCAATCTTCTCTTCTCCACACTGAACAGTGACCCCAGCCACTACTCATACGGCTTCCCCTCAAGGCCCTTCACCATCCTCATGTCCCTCCTTTGGATGCTCTCCAACATCTTAACATCTTTCTTATAGTGTGGCACCCCAAACTGCACACAGGAATCAAGGTGAGGCCACTCCAGTGCACAGGGACTCTTGCTGTACTTAAAAATAGCAGTAATACCCATCTAAACCCAAACCTCAGCTCCAAACTTACTTAAAGGCTTTGTCTTTGACTCTTTTCTAAAAGGGAAACTCTTTTAAATTACTAAGTCATTGTCATATCTATAATGAGTGTTTGACATCCATCACTGGTACCTTTGGTATCTATGTTTTTCAAAACATTTAAGATTCAGTCTAAAAGATATCTTACTTTCCCCAATCACACTTTCTTTCCTTTAATTGAATCCAATTTTCTAGGTTTTTGCTTTTCCCTTATTTTTGAACTAACATCTGCTTAAAAAAATACTTGAAATAATAAGTTCAGAGCTGTGAAGAATGAGTGTTGCCTATTTATGGCCTCCTTGCCAATTAGCACTCTGTTGTTACAGGTGATGATACAGTAACTGTGGGGGAGCAGGCTTATGCCTCTTGTGAGAGGATTTCTCTGTTCATGTGCACAGTTTGGTGAATTTGCACCCATGAAGTTAATATTGCTTTATTCAATTTATAGTCTCCACCTGTGCCTGCTTATGTATCTTGAGGATTTTGGTTGTGCAGAATTCATACATTCCACTACTGAATACACCTGGGATTCTTTTGCTATCTTTTTATGCTGCTGAATTTCAGATTTTATATAGCTGAGCTGCTCACAATCAGAGTTTTATTCTGCTCCTTACTACAGAAACAAAAAGAGATGAATGGTGCTGGCCTTGGAGACTTTCAGGCTGGCACAGTGCAGAGGATTCTCCACACAGCAATTTTGGGTGAGAGACCCCCAAATGCAAATGCAGGTGTAATTAAATCTGGCATCAGGTGTAGCTTGGCAGTCTGGCTCCAGTAGCTCCTTAAGGATGGATAAAGCTCTGTGGACTTGCAAGCATCTCCATTCAATTTCTCAGTGAAGGAAGAAGAGTTCCTTCTTTTTCCTCGACAGAGAATTCTTTCTTAGGGCTCCTGTCTGATCAGGACAAAGCTATCATGGGAGAGACAGCACAGTCATTGAGCAGGTATCTGCTCCCATGTGCCACAATGTTAGGAGACCTTGATTCCCAGGATGTTGCTGGAGGGGCCTGGTTTGCCAGGATTTTAGGCTGTGAGGTTTGTTGCTCCAAGAAGTGTCAGGTGGCATTGGTGAAGCAACAAGCGATGGGAGTGCTCAATGTGAGTGAGGACCAACGTGAGTCGAGACTATAGATATTTTTCTAGTTGGAGAAAGTTCTCTTTCCCTCCTTTGCAGATAGTTTTCCAGCAGACTGTGTGTCTCTGGCTGTAGATGGGAAAGCAAGAGCAAAGTGCAAATGTCACAAGATCGATTTAATAACTATTAAACTGCAAGGGAGAGCAGAAAGAGCCAGAGCTGAGAAAAATCTGCTATCACATTTTGCCAACAACCTTCCAGACTTGGAAGAGTCAGATAGACAACAGGTCTTTCAGACATGTGGCACAGCTATATTTCCAAATGTCTCAAGATACTTCCACCTCAATTCTCCTCCTTCCTTCGTTTCCCTTTGGAAGTGCATAGACCTGTCACAGACCCCACCATGAGTGTGTATTAGATGCTGCTGCTGGAGGCAAGGAGGTTCAGACTTTCGTGGGAGTCTTGACAAATTGTCCCTGTAGGAGCCTACTCAAGTCTACTGAGGCCCTGCTGTGTGCAGCCCCAAATCCCAGCCTATTGCTGAAACAGCCACTGCTGGGAAGGAGCTGACTTGGGAGCCTTGGCCACCCAGGGCAGGCTGTAGTCCTGGTGGGGATGGATTTCTTGCAGCCTGCTGCCTGCCAGTGCAGCTGGGCTAACCTGGGCCACCAGCAGGCCAGTGCTGAGGACAGGGACCAGCTCCCTGCCCAGAGCCAAACCACAGCCAGGGATTGCTTCATCAGGAGCCTCCATGGAGCCCCATGGACACATCAGTGCTCAAAGCTAAAAGTGAAGCTTTAATTACTGTTTAAATCCTTTCACAGGGCCTGATGGCATTTGAGGTAGATATGTATAAATGCTGCCTGGTATTATGTTTTTGCCAGAGTGGTTTTGCAACCCACAGTCAGTGTGATCCTGTATCTCTCATGGCTGTTTGTGATGACCACATTTGCTGGAAGATCTAGAGCACCAACACTTTTTTTTTTCTTTTTTAATCCAAGTGAACTTGTTAGCCTGTAAACACTGCAAGTGGAAAGGTCTCCTAATCTGCCGTGAGTGCTGGTGATAAAAAGGCAAATGCAAGCAGTGAACGAAATAATCCACCTAATCATTTTCTAACACTTTGGCAAATAAATCACCTCTACTCTTACCATGCTAGATGGCTCTCACTTATGAATTGATGGTATTATGTTGATTTATCTTTTCTCCATCTTCTGTTTCCCAGGCCGGATGATGTGATGCTGAAGCGCACCCATGATGAGACTGTTCTCTTGCACTGCTTCCTCTGGCCCGTGGTGACTTTCCTGGTCGGAGTCCTCATCGTGGTCCTGACCATCTGTGCCAAGAGCTTGGCTATCAGGGCAGAGGCAATAAAAAAGAAGAAGCATTTGTGAGTGGCAAGGCTTCTTGTGGAAAGAGAAACCTGCAAGAAGGTCTGAGGTGGGGCAGCCTGACACACCTGCAGGTCTGCGGGGCACCCAGCTGCAACTCCTTCCAGGGTCTGATCTGTGGTGGAGTAGCTCTTGTCTCAGGACTGTTCTTGGGAGATTGCCCCGTGAAATGCCTGCTAATTGCTTCTTCTGCTATGGCACTAAATAAGTATATTCTACCAAAAAAAAAAAGAGAAATCTACACTGCACCAAATATGCTGTGTGCTGTTAGTGCTGAAGAGCAGCTACCCAGAAACTGAGACAGTTTATGGAACTCCCTGATGATGTTGCTTTCATCTCTACAAAGCGATCTTTGCTAATGTTTATTAAGAAATATTTAAAATATTTACTTTAGATAGAACATATTTCCAAAATAATAAAAATTTATTGTTTTGGGGGTTTTAACTTTTGGGGGTTTTCTTTTTTTTTCTTTTTTTTTTTCTTTTTTTTTTTTCTTTTTCTTTTTTTTTTAATGCTTTAAGGCAAACGTGACATTGTGCTGGTTAGGTTTTTTTCCCACTGTGTAGAACTTAATTTTGAAGTTCAAACCTTACCTTTTGTCTAGACAAAATCTTTCATCATCACCCATTCACTGTGATGAAATGTAGAAATCTCTCAGAAATACTTCTTAAAAAAATGAAACAGTTATTGGAAAAGATGATTAAATACTGGATCTACCTTTATTGCCTCAGTGGTATTCAGTCCTACAGTTTTTCTTGCCCCCTCTCAGACACCCTCTTCACGAGTGCTCCATGCTGTAAGGAGCAGGGGTTTTACAGTAGTGGTTTTACAGGAGTATGTTTTACCAGCATCCTGCCCAACCAGTGGAGTGCCTGAGTGCTTGCTGAGGAGATCCTGTGTGTCACTGGTGTGGCTCACACCACCAGAGAGGGACAGCAGCTCCTTGTAGGGCTGTGGGTGTTTGCTGTGGAGCTGCCCATCCCAGTCACACCAGCGCCATGGAGGCTGCCTCCCAGGGGCTGCTCCACAAAACACACAGCACTGTGGGCATGGAGTCTTGCTGGGTCTGCTTCCTCTGCTTGCCCCACCCTTTGCTGTGTGTGATGGGAGCACCAGCTCTAGTGCACTTGCTCAGCACAGAGAGTTCCATGTTTCTGGCAGTCTCCCAGAGCAGATTTTACCCTGCTGTAGTCAGGGGCTGGGGCCAGAGCAGTCTCATGGCACTTGTCATTGCCCCACAGGGCCCCCCCGGGACCAGCTGTGCAGCTTGGCAGTGCTGGAGGGCAGCAAATGGAAAAGCCATGTGGCTGGGTCAGGAAAGTGAGTGATTACTGGCAAAGCACTTTAATCTACATTAACAATTCTGCAATTCTAAACATACTGTGCATTATACTAATCTCTGATATTCCTAGTATTATGTGTAAAAACCTTGGGGTTCGTTGTGATTTTAACACATAGCAAAAATATTTCCTGAGGATGAGAAAAGTGCTAGATTTGAAAGGCTGAAAGCTTAGTTGGCACAAGGCATGATGACAAACCTGCTTGTATTGCTCAGTGTCCTTTTCAGATTAATTGTCTTGTGTGTTTTAGAACTGATTTCCATAAGACCTCTTGTACACACTGTGGTGCCCAGTGATGAGGCTGATGCATGGCAAGGGCAGCAGAGTGACTGGAGGTCATTTGCTGCTTCCCTTCTTACTTGCTGTGTGACTTTTGGAGTGTCCTCTGGTCCCAGTCCACGCTGGGATAGCTGTTCCCTCAAAGCAAGTCAAGGAAATGTGTTTGTAGGTGTAGGAACTTGATGCTTCTTGGCACATTACTCTGTATGAAAGATGCAGCTGGCATTGGTTGCACATGTTCAAGCACCTCCAATCCTGCAGATGAAAAATACCTCTTGTAAGAAAAATTTCCAATTCTTTGTGTTAAACATCACCACTTTGAAGGTGCCTGCTGTCCAGCTCACACTGATACCTTCTGTCTCAGCCTACTGAAAAGAATAGTGCTGGATATCCTGGGTGCAGAGAGGTTGTGAGCTCTCAGCCTCTCAGAGGAAAGCCTGCAAGCTTCTGAAAGAGCTGTCCTGCAAAGGACACTGTGTTTTGTTTCACTCTTGTCTCACTCTTGTGGCCTTGTTTGCATCCACTGCGATTCTCTTGCCTCAGCAACCCACAGAAACACTGCATTGTGGGTCTGATTTGGGGGTTTGGCTGCTGTTTTTTAATATATATATTACTTGCTCCCACTCTGCAAATCACATAAAGCTGCAGGTGGTTTGGTTATCTGAGTAGGGTGATGCCAAATTCTCTTCATCTATTTCTCCTTGGCTTCTTACAGTTAAGAGGAATAAGCCTGATTTTCTACATCCATTCGTCCTTTGTTTTCCCAAGGGAGAAGGAAACACAGGGTGACACACATTCATCATGAAATTTTAAACCAGTAGCTTGGGGCTCACAAATCCAGATTAACAAAATCCTCTCTTTCTCTGCTCCAGAAGCTTTTGTGAGTGAATCCTACAGCTCGTTCTCTGAGCAAAAGGCAAGAAGCAAATTGGGCAGATGCAGCTCACTTGATTGGCAATCATATATTTAAATCTGTTGGAAATGCCTTTTGCAAAGGCCTCTGGAAGAAAGTAATGGCTACAGAGATGATATTATATTGTTTTGCTGAGAGAGTAACACCCCAAGTTAAATACCAAAACTGATATCCAAAGACCAGCAATAGGTATGAGCCTGGCATGGCAGTATGGGATGCTAAGGAGAAAACTCAAAATCCTAACATTCAGTCTTTTGTCTCATCCCATCCCTCAGTAATTTAGAAATGTCTTTTTAATCCCTGTACTTGATTGTGGAAGCTGGGGATTTCCCTCTAGTGGATTATTCACTCCTTGGCTTTGCAGATTTCCAAGTTTTGTAGTGTGTTCTCTGAAACATACTTGCAGCCAGAGCGGCTGCTTTTCCCAAAGCCATCTGCAGAGTTGGCTTTTGCATTTTATTCAATATTTATATGCCATTGCTTTGAGGAATTTTGTTCTGGCATGCTGTCTTACTGCTCTGCTTCAGTAAGACCTGCCTTTGCTTTCATGTAGTGCAATTAAATCAATTTGCTTATACAGTATCTCTGTGTTAATTTCTTACCCTCATTTTAAAAGTTGTAGTAATAGAAACACTTTTTGTTGTTTTTTTCCCTGCTTATGTGTTTCTGTGTTGCCAGTAACAGGTAAGATTTCACAAAGTTAGGAAATATGGCTGTTGAATGAACAGCTAAATTCAAACTCAGACAGATGAGGGATGTCATGGGAGAATCCAGGGGCATTTTAGAAGATCTTTACCCATAATCTCTGCTATAAACGTAGCCCTTTGACAGGGGTCCAGCACAGAGTGCTGGATTTAAGGACTGTTTTCAGCTCAGCTTTTCAGCAGGTGCTGCAGGATGCAGGTTGGGAAGTGCAGTGGGGAGGTAGCAAGGTCTCAGTTTCCAGACTTTCACTTCCAAGTGTGTTTTGAGGGATTTGTCCTAGAACAGAACAAAGACATCTGCGAGGTGTGAGAGCACAGATCTCTCCCTGCATCTGCTGCGTGGCACAGCCTGCTGTGCCCACCCCAGCCCTGGTGCTGCCATCTGGGGTGTCCCTGTCTGCAGTTTGCTCCTTGGGAGCCCTCCTGGCTGAGCCAGGCTGTGGTGTCATGCCCACAGGAGCAGGGATGTCTACAGAGGGCTGCCACACAGCTCAGCTCATTTCACACACTGCACGAAAGCATCCATCAAGTGTGTGTTATCCCATCGAGTCCAGCTGGGAAATGCAGAAGGGGAAACATGGGTCAATGTTTAAAACCTTTTAACAGATAAAGTGGTAGGGCTTCAGTATTCCTCAGGAAGTGTCTAATGCAATTTGCTAAGGCTTACTTGGAAAATGAAAACTTTAAAATTGGCAATGGGGCTGGTCTGACAGCAGGACAGTGTGGATTGTCTGTGAGCAGAAGGGAGGTGCTGTGCAAGCATCTTTGCTCAGCACTGCAAACACAGGAGCTGCCCTCCAAATCAGGGCTTCTGCAAACTTAAGCCTAAATGGCCAAAGAATCAAGAACAAACACGTGGAAGAGGAGACACCTAAAACAGTGTTTAATCAAAAAGAAAAACACTCATGCCATGGCTTATATTTCAATAATCAGATGAGAGAAAGCACAGCTGAATTTCTAATTATGATGCCTATTATATCATGCAAATATGGTCTTTCAATCCCTGACAGAAATCCCATAGCCAGAGTTATTGAAAAATCAGCTTATTCCCATGTGTGGTTTTCTCTGAAAATCAAAGCCTGTTTGGTTTGGGGCTTTTTTTCCCCCTCAGCGTGGAACAGCTGCTGTTCCTCCATTAACTTTCAATCAGAAACAAACCTCTTCCCTTTCTGGCATCTTAAGAGGCTGCTATGCTGATCTGTCAAGCTAACAATCTTTGCTGCAGAAAGCATGAGCAGGAAAACCTCCGAGGGAATATGTGTGCAATTAATCATGCTGCCTTGTCAGGTCACAGCCCCACTGAATGAATCAGCCCCACAGTTTGGTATTTGAGAGGCTGTGCAATTCCCCCTCTGGTTTGATAGTGAGCCCAAATGCTGCCATTGCCTGCACTGGGCTCAATTCACAGCTCCTTGGTGGTCTAATGGTTTGGAGTCTGGTAAGCCAAAAAATCCCTCTGTGTGCATTGGGTGCATGGCTGGAGATGCTGTAAAAAGAAAAAATAATAGCTTATTACACTACATAGCTGTAATTTGCATGTAAATTTATATTATAAAATGTGTTGGCATGGCTGTAAAATTGCATACACACCTAGAGTACACAGTCTCCAAACAGCACATGCAGCAATCAATTGAAAATAACCCTCCCAGAAATTCAGTACTGCTTCTGACACTGCATTAAAGAAAAGCAAACACTGTAATTTAATTTAATGAGCTAATGGAGCTCAAGCTTTACTTTTAATAATATAACTTGTTCATAATGTTTCAGCTAGCAGAAGTTCTATCCTTGTTTTTATTTGCATGCCAATTGCCATTCGCTAAAAGCAATTGGAAAAAAAATCAACCGGTAAGCTCTTTCACATAATTGCTTGTTCAGCAGCTGAGGGTTTCTGGACAAAATACTTCAATTTGGACCCCATGCAGCAGAATCATTTCCT